CACGGGGGCGCCCTAAGCGATGGCATCTGGTAATAGAGTCCACACTTAATTCAGGGATGTTCAGCCGCTCTGATAATACCTTACTTGTGCAATGCACTAGGTTCTCATCTTGAGCTTCTGGCATTCCATGGACAAGCAACATCTTCCTCCTGGTCCTTACCTCCATTTCATCTTGCTGCCTAGAGAGAAGCTGGAGCTGAAGTTGCAGATTCTCAAGTGCTGATTGGACGAATGCCCTAAATGCATTAAATTGTGCATTAATATTGGAAGAAGGGCTCGTTGCAGGGATGGATGTTCTGACCTCCCTCTGGAACTCATCCATATGTGAAGTGAAATTCAGTGTTAGCTCTTCAATTGACTTCTTAAGCAAATCCATTTTTAATATTCAATTAAAGGTTACTTAAAGGTCAATGTCAGGTGACAGTGAAGTGGCAAAATAAGTTTTAAGTTGTGCAATGAAAAACAAATTATTAGTAAACAATGCTGGTGGATTTATGTAATTACAGGTACATTTATATACTTGATTGTTCTAAATTTACTATATTAAAACTTTAAAAAATCAGGAACGATTTTAAATATGTCAAAACACTTTTGCGCCTACCCACCGAAAAACAAATCTTCGAATAATTTTACTACTCTCAGATAACTTCGTTTGCGTTTTACCAACACAATCGTGGAGCAGCCAATATTGCAGTGTTAATACTATAGGGTTTGTGAATCAATAACAACAGTAACCTTTGATAATTATTTGTTGTCGGCGATTTTGGTTGTTAACAGATATGGGTAGTAAAGGACATCGATAAGTATTATAGACAAAGAACTCGACAACCCTATTGCATTTTATTGTTTATCAAAACTCCATAATATAAAGCCAAACATGTTTGTAATTACGATATTAAGATTAGTAACAAATTCTTAAGTACCTATATTATCAAATAGTTTATTTTTTTATATTAGCTGTAAATTCACTTACTTCTGTGTTAATGTTATCCCACTTTTCTTTTGGTAACGAGTTTTACAAATTACACACACCCTCATTAATACTTAAAATAATTCTTATTATATAACTAAACTCAAACATATTTAAAATACATAAAATACTTTCTGTACACGCACCTAGTTGCCCAGACTAAGCTCGAACATACAGGGGCCCATACAGCTGTTAGATTTGACGGACAATTAAGTGTGGGGCTCAAATGCCTATGGATATTTAAGGTATATGGACTAGGTACTTAATGAGACTTACCTGGTTCAGGAGCGGAGACTGGTCCCAAGGCTCGGTCAGGCGATAGGTGTAGTGCATGTAAGTGGTGTTTGTGAGTGTATGAAAATGTGGGGCCTGACTTAACCCCTTTAGTAGGCAGCAACCCTGACTCCGACACCGCCCCACGGTGTGGTATTCTCCAACGGCGGCACCAATGGACAATTTCTTTCTTCAATTCACTATGTCAGTCTATCAACCTTATTGTACATTTAACTAACTTCAAAACGCAACTAAATCCCGTTAATTATAATCAAAACGTAACACACGGCACGAATAACGAACGGGCGGATTAAAGGTCACTTCCGTTTCACGTGGCAACAAGATTACAACCAAGAACAAAACGGGATCCCTGCACAAATCTATAATCTAATACGAACACTGTTTCTCGCGGGTCACAATCTTAGCTTCTTAACCGACACCGGAAAATATCTCCGAGTTATATCCAATGCCACAAAGCAACTACTGGACGCAAAGTATTATTGTCAAGCACTTCAACCGGCAATCACTATATAATTTACGTAAATTACTTGCCAACGAATTTAGGTTAATCAATCAAATTATTACTGCTTCGTCGTCGCGTGAATGCACTAGGATAACCAAACGGCGTCTATTTTCTAGACTCAACAAAACCTCGTCGTTGCATAAATTTGCTAACAAAACCGACACTAAAAAAGGAGGTTATACCGGACGACCTCGTCGTGCTAGACCGCACTGCCTTTTCGACTTCCGCCGGGCCACGCAGTTCAACGGAGATTTGCAGACTGACTAGGGGCGCGAGACGCCTCAGCCCACCGTCCCGTTAATCGACACATCAGGTGACCTGGCGTGAGCGGGGTAACGCGTGCGGGGAGAAGAGGCCCGACAGCGACCCCTGTTGCCATCGGACGCTAGCACTCGTAATGCAGTTTTAAAAATTTAGCATTTGGCGCATACACTTTCATTATTCGTTTAAAATACAGAGATACGATTTATATTATGTAAATTTTAGTTCCCAGTACGAACAATGGCGGCGTTTCAAATTGGTACTAACATTTTGTAGAGTATAGTAGCCAGTCCAGCGTACTTGTATCTATAGAGGTCATTGATGTATTATTATTCCTAATTAACAATATAACCATTAAAATTGAAAATGTTTCCACAATTATTTCTTCTGGTGCAGCAATACGCTAGGTACCAGCTAGTATTATAATAAAAATGCAAAATCTACCAAGTGGTACAGCCACGCTGCAGCTATATAGCTAGTTGTAGAACGTAGAACGAACGTATACGAATGGGTCAGCTCATGGGGTAGGACCACGCTCTCATAGAATATTAGCATAAAGTAGCAGATCAATGCTGCTGCTGTTTCGTACGGTGAGTGTAGATCTGGAGACAATTTACTGGGAGCGAGGCATTCCATCTTAGTTTTCAAGAGTTACTGTCATCAGGTGGACTGTGTGCTCGCTTGTCACACTTATTCTATAAAATAACACAATGGAAAAGGCGCGCAAATTGAAATTTTATACTTAATATGGTAAATGTGACATTATATACCAAAAGTTTTCTGTGCTTTTGTGGATCTTGAGAAAGCATTTGATAAGGTTGTAAGGAAGAAAATGTGGGAACTGTTGCCGGGGTATGGTGTGGATGGTCGATTGCTAAGGGCTGTGCAGTCTCTTTACTGTGACTATAAAGCCTGTGTGCGGGTAGGGCATGACCTGTCACCCATGTTTAGCGTCCAAACAGGCGTAAAACAGGGTTGAGTCATGTCTTCCTGGCTGTTCATACTGTATCTCGACAGCTGTTTACAGAAGCTGAAAGATAGCTGTTTGGGTGTGAAATTGGGTGACATAAAAGTAAATTGTCTGCTGTATGCTGATGATGCAGTGCTTATTGCACCATCAGAGGCAGAACTGCAGGCATTAGTCACGTGTATGAAAGAGGAATGTGAAATTAAAGGTCTCCGTTTGAACGCTAATAAAACTAAGGTTCTGGTATTTGAAAGGGACGAAGAGAGAACGAAGTGTGAAATATGGGTAAATCAGGAATGTCTAGAACAAGTAAATGAAATTGTATACTTGGGGAGTGCTTTTAGTCGGGATGGAAGATGTGATTTAGATGTGGACAGGCGTGTCGCTGCCGGGAACAAAGTCAATGGTGCCCTGACTGCGTTAGTCAAAAGGCAAGGCGTAGCGAAGAGTGCACGCCTTGCAATACATAACGCAGTGTTGGTACCGACTTTGTTATATGGCAGCGAAACCTGGGTATGCCAGAAGAAGCATAAAAGCAAGTTGAATGCAGTGGAGATGCGATCTCCTCGTAAAATGTGCGGCGTTACCATGGTCGACCGAAAGCGAAACGAAGAGATTCGCAATATGGCAGGTTTGAAAGATGACCTTATCACAAAAATTGATAAGGGCGTGCTTCGGTGGTTTGGGCACGTTGAGCGAATGAGTGAAGACCGAATGGTGAAGAAAATATATAGCGCGAAAGTTAATATTAAAAGGTGTCGAGGTAGACCGAGACTAACTTTCGAAGACCATGTGAGCAAATTGCTCGAAGAGGGTAGGGTCAAGAGTACTCGGATACCTAGACGTGCATGTATGAAGAAGATAATGAATCTGAAAGAAGCGAAAGAGGTATGTAAGGATCGTGACACTTGGCGATCTGTTCTCTCTGGCTACCCCGTCAGGGATTGTGCGTGAAGATAAGTAAAGTAATATACCAAAAGTACAAGAAAAGCGCGTTAAATTTTTAATACATTTTAGGTAGTCCGTATTATTGCCAATATCAAAAGTAATAGAAATTATCCATAGTCATTTGCCCCAGAACTTCCCATTCCCAACAATATTATGTTGATGCATCACCTTGTGACGCTTTTGAGAGTTGTATCATAGCAATTTTATATCACATTATATCAAGAAGTGTGGTAGTTACAATCCACATTTGATGGTCCTTCGAACCGGATAGAATCAGAAAAGGGTTGATAAAAGAAATGTAGTAGAGGTGTTATAACGTTTATTTTTTTAAATAAAAGTTGATACATTTTGTGTACAGAATTAAAAAACTATGATTATGTGTAAGAACCTTCTCTCCAGTGTCTTGTCATTTTGTTTTGTTAATATATTTTTTTGTTAGTTCTGAACTTAATTGGCTTTATTGTTTACGATGTATTACACTTGAATGAATATTCTTTATAGCTTTCATATACTAAATATACAAAAGCCTTTTTATTGATTTATAGTTTTACTTTTAGCTGAATATAAGATCTTTAGGTTAATGAGAGTTGGTCTGTACAAGCTTTTATAAAAGCGACACTTGGTTACTTAAAGTATGTTATGATTTTGAGATACTTTATTATATGCCATTATGCGCGAAATTTTTGTTTTAGTTACTTATTTTTGGAAAAACTAGTTATATTAGTTACCTATATAACCTTTACTTTTACTAATGCTATCGTTAGCCACTCTATGGCTTAAATACTCAAACGCCTTTAAGTCATAGTGTCTGTGACACCACGAGTTTAAAATGCCTTTTTTATTTATAGAAGAGGTGCAAACGAGTATTGTGTTAGCCGTAGTTCACGGGAGGATCTGAATGGAATGAACCCACGTTTTTAAAGTTCGCAATCCGTTTCCCTAACTATTAGGGGGGGAAACACAATAGCGGGTGTACGCGACTATCAGTTGTAATTGGTAGTAGGTGTCGTGTAGCGGGCAGCGGGCAGCGGGCAGCGGCAGCGGGCAGCGGCAGCAGGCTACTGCAGCGCCCAGTGCGGGTGGTGCGGCGGCGTGTTGTGCAGCAGGCTGGGCCAGTCGCGCAGGCGCGGCGCGCGCGCGTACGCGTCCCGCGCCAGGCCGCGCGCCGCCTCGCCCGCCCACGCGCCACCGCCCGCCGCGCCCGCCCCGCCGCCCGCCCCGCACGCTGCGCCGCACAGCGCGCCGCCCAGCCACGCCACGCTGTTGTCGTGCGCCGGCGCACTGTGGAACTTGAACTGCAGCTGCCCCAACCGCTCTCTGACACAAAACAACGCTTATTTCATTTTGTTACTGCACCACTCTTACTAACAACATTCTAACGCGCAATGCTCGTCGATTAATGGATCACAGACATTTATATCAGTCGTCGTTTCATTATTATTATAATGTCACATCATAACAACTTTATATCATATTATATTATCTATCAACAAGCATGGGAGTCACATCCTACATTGAATGATCCTTCGAGCTGGATCGAATAAACAAAGGGTTTACTAAATAAATGTAGTAAGGGTGTTATAACGTTTATTTTGTAAATAAAATACCTCGGCGTTTTATAAGCCACAAACTCGGTAGTAGGAGGACAACTATGAGGCACGAATATATTTTACCTGATAATATTTGGTATAGTAATAGTATTTTTTAGTTTGAAATGTCAGCAGTGAATTTTTGAGCCTAAATAGCAAATACTAGAAATATTTTTAGTAGAAAAACATGTTAAAAAATATTATAATAATTATACACGTTGTATAATTATTGTAATATTTTGTTCATCATGTCCCGAAACTAACTCATGCGAGACTTAACAAACCAATTATTGTACACGGTATGTTTTACTTAAGTCGCGCATAAAATTTATAATATTTTATAATTAAAAAAAAATTAAATTTATTGAAACATGATAATAAGTACAGGACAATAGAACTTTAATTAATAACATCTATTAGAATACTTTAAATTACAAACAAAACACTAAAACATTTGATCAAGAAATATAAAAGAAATACTTGACATAGTCATTTAAATTTCTTGTACATTTTTACAAGAGAAAGGAATAAAACACTCCATAGTTTGACGCAACACATCGGTTATCGCATCCGCACAGCTCAACGGATTCACAGAAGAGAAACAGACCTCCCGCCAAGGATAGTGTACGGGCTGCAGCACGTACATTTTTGTAGCGTCAGCAATTTACGCTATTACGCTACAATAATGCATTTTGAGTCAGTGCGCTAATTGAGCTCAGCAATACCGGTCACGCGTGCTCACAGTATCACTTCCCATCTATCATTAAATTAGATTTAGTTGGTTCTATCAATAAACTATCAATTATCAACTTCCCAGTATTGACTATCATTTACTATAAACTACTGTCAAACGACCAAACGTGGGGATCCCGTCGCAGCCCCTACATTTTTCTGGTCCTTCGACAAACTCGCGTGTGTGTACAAAAACTGTGCATCACAAGTGAGAGCAACCAGCAGGAGGCGTGAGCTATGAAAAAGTGTCGCATCTCATCCCAATTAGCTGACTTATACCGCCATATTCGTCGAACATCTTGGGACTCGTAATCAGGTGGAGAATATGACGATACAAATTTCACCAGACAGTGGTCAGATGTACCGAAAGCGGAAGTAACCTGTACATCATACCTGTCTGGTTCCGTAGTCAGCAGAAAGTCCAAGCAATTGGCTGTGTGACCGTCTACATCGGGTGCCCTAATCGCTCCCTTTACTAGCTGAGAAAGACCTAACGTCAAGGCAAAATTCCACGCTTCTCTTCCAGCATGGTCAGTCTTCTAGTATGGGTACAACCAGTCTTGGTGACAGCCGTTAAAGTCCCCTGGAAAGACCAGCTTTGCAGTAGGATATCGATGTAGGGCCACATCAGCAGCCTCACTAAGGTAATTAAATAATCGTGTTGTCTCCTGGTCACCGCTGTGCGATATGTAGACACAGACATAAAGGATTTTATCAATACCTGTATCTACCAGCACCTAGATTGTCGAAAAATTGGGGTCTTCAAGGTGACGGAGACACTGGAAGCAGATGTGATTGCGGACGTACACAAAGACTCCGGCACGTAGATGCAATTTGTGGTCCAGGGACAATACAGGATAGTCAAGGTACGCCGCATTCAATGGACATCCGATTTGGGTCTCCGTCAAGAAAAGGAGGCGCGGCTTCTCAGCCTCAAGACTGGACTGTGCTGAGATTAGAGTGCAATCCTCGAATATTAGTGAGGTGCACTTTCAATGAGAGGACGTGCAACCGCTGGTTAGTCATACTTTTCTATTTAAAATACATATTAAGAGTTCGGAGTGAATAAGGATGGAGAATGGCAGTTGAACGAGGCGTTGCATTAGCAACCAAACGATACTATCAGTCACTGCGGCCGTGGGAATTCGATCTGGAGACTGCGGGAACGCCCGAACTACCCCATTACCATCGGGTCTTCTCCTCCGGTCGCTAACCGGCACTATAGAGCCACCTTGGGATTTTTAGCTAGTTGGCGGGGCAGCCTTTTATGAGTAGCTAATTCACTAATTGGGTCCCCAACCACCTACGGTCGGCCAGCGGAAAACCATTCTTCGGATTCACCTAACCTTCACGACCAAGCACCCGACACGGAAACATCTGACAAACAACGGTTCACACACATAACGCTATTGTTCAAACCCATTCCCATATGGCTTCACCAAGCATCATGCCGGAATACGACAACATCATTTGGCGACAAAGCTGCATTGGTGGGTAACTAGTGAAAGCCAGTGGCCGAAGCTACTGCCGGAATTGGTGTTGCTCATTTAGCACTACCCGGGGGACACGTGTAGGGAGTCAGATTTCAAGTATTTCCTACGGACGCGAGCAACCTCTAAGTCCATCTAAGTCCTCAGTGGTGACAACGCATCTGCAATTTGTTTTTTAATCGATGATAAATGTTGTCTTGGGCCACAGCATCCACTTAACATCAGGTGGACTGTGTGCTCTATTGTTACCCTTATTCTATAAATTATATATATATATATATATATACTGGGTGGCGCCCAGGTTATCACGTTAAATAGCACAACAGTTAATACAAGTTGATATATGTCTGTTAAAATAATAAAATAAACAATAATAAAAACTAATAAAAAATGCATCTTTCAAACAAAATAAATAGGGTAAAAAATCACATAAAATAAATCATCCTTGATAATATTACTTAACTGACCTGAAATGACTTGTAGAAGCGGCAACGTCGCGGCCAGCGGTTCATTGCTCATGCGACATCGATATAGGTAATTATATTATAATACCTAGGTCCTAGGACTTGCCCATACATAGGTAATTAGGCACGCGTAGGGCGATGCTAATCCGATGTTATCAACAAATCACAAATTTCATGGTATTTTTTTATCCAAATAATCACTTTAACCTTGAAATCACTCAAGTTTATGAAACAAATCAAATTTTTAAATTTTCAAAATGTCCGCCGTGTACCCGAATGCATAATTGACATCGTCGCATGATATTATTTCGGACTTTTCGAAAGAGGGCACCATTGGCTGCAAAATTTTTTATTTTGTCGAAAGCCCGCATTATTCTTATTTTTAAGTCCTCGACAGTCGTTACTTCAGTAGAGTACACCTCATTTTTTATGTAACCCCATAAAAAGAAATCTAACGGTGTTAGATCCGGAGACCGTGCTGGCCACCGAGAAGGTCCGTATCTGCCAATCCAGTTCTCTCCGAACATCTCAGTGAGGCGCTGCCTGGCAGCCACCACTGAATGAGCAGGTGCTCCATCAAGCTGGTACCATAACCGGCTATTGGCCCCCAACGATAGTCCATCAACGTAATCCGCCACTGTGTCGTCAAGCAGTTCCAAAAATTTAGGCCCATTAAGGTTGCCTTCGATAAACACGGGACCAATTATTTGATCTCCGTGTATTCCAGCCCAAACATTAACGGCAAATCTATATTGGTGCATAGACTCCCGACACAGTTGCAGATTTTCTTGACTCCAGTATCGTAAGTTCTGCCGATTCCATATTCCGTTACGCGTGAATGTGCTCTCGTCAGTCCACATTACGTTTGCTAAAAAGTTAGAGTCATTAGCTACTTTGCTCAGGAGCCATTCACAGTAGGCTTCCCTAACTGGCTTATCTCTATCTAATAAAGCCTGTACCTTTACGTATTTGAACGGCCGTTGCTTGTTTTTTTTTAATATTCTGTGAACAGACTTGTGGTGTACACAGAATTGGCGAGCTGCTCTACGGAGACTTGATGTTGGATTACGAGCGAAATAATTTAATATTCGTTCTTCCTGAGCCACGGCGACTCGCGGAGGAATTTCAACCTGACGTGGAATCAAATTTTCGCCGTCACGTAATCTTTGGACTGCCCGTATAAAAATCCGTGAGTCTGTAGGACATACACGTGTGGTATTATACCTCTCTCGGTATGTTCGTAATGCCAGGGACGCGTTTTGGTGGCATTCTCCATAAATTAAAACCATATCGGTGTATTCCAATGACGTAAAATTGATACGAGGCATTTTAAAATAAAAAAAGTTATACGTTTAAAAAAATAAAAGCGTCCAATTGCGCATGGGCTGACACACCACTAAGTTATTAAATATCACTTATCTATTATTAACGAGTCCTATCACAAATAAAAAATACAAGACAGTAAAAGAAAGCGTCAAATTTCGCACAAATAGTCACACCACCTCCTCAACACAATTATTATTATAGTATTAACGTGTCCTATCACAAACAAATCAAGAAACTTATGAAAATATCCACAAAAAAAAAAACTTTAAATTAAAAGGACGTGTACGCGAAAAACTAAAATTAGGTCAAGCGATTAATGAACCGTTCCCAAGGACGCCGGCGTCGGACTAAGTGACTTACTGTCTTACTTTATCGTCGCACGCGCCAATCGACCACATCCCACCCTCCCAACACCCCGTCCCAATTCTTGTCGCATCGCGCATAAGAATTATGCCTTATTTTTTTACATATAAGTACATTTTTTGCTTAATTTATTACTTTATTTGATTATTTAAAATTGGCAACGTTGCACTATAATACAATATAGGTCTCTTGGCCTTCACGGGCCATGGGTCTTTGAACTTCTAGTATTTATCAGGTGATATCTGATGCATTTACATGATGTTGTTTAATATTAAAACAAAAAAAAGGCTACCGCGCCCAGAATGTTAATTGTTATATATTTTTTTAGTTGTGTATGTTTAAAGAACTTTGTATAGAATACGTCTTTTCATTTAACGTCATAACTTCATCGTCACTTTGTATATATATACATATATATATATATATATATATATATATATATATATATATATATATATATATATATACTAGCTGTTCCCCGCGACTTCGTCCGCGGGTAATTTATTACGATTGGACTTCATGGGTTTTAATTTTTTGCGCAGAACCCTAATTCTTTTTCTAAAATAAAAGTAGCCTAAGTTACTTCTTATAAAATCAACTATCTGTCAGTGAAAGTCCGGTTAAAATCGGTCCAACCATTTCAGAGATTAGCCGGAACAAACAGACAGACAGAAAAATTTTAAAAATTGTATTTTTGTTAATTACCGTATAAACTGTCATATGCATATAGTAAAAAGCTGTTATTTCGACATTACAAACAGATACTTCAATTTTATTTATTTGTATAGATATAGATATACGTACCGGTATGGCGGCAGTGTGACGAGATGGCGCAGTTCGTGGGCCAAGCGCGCCTTAAGGCCCGGCAGCGCGGCGCCGCCGCCCACCACCAGCACGTTCTCCGCGAGCGCGCGCCGAGCGTCGATAGGACACTGCCAGTAAACCATACAATTATCAACTCACCCCACTTATCATAGAGACATATATCAATTTGCAAAACGTAAGTTTATGTAAGTCTACGAAGCATAATACATTTACGTCAGAGCACGCGCAGTCAACATTTACACGCTGACCCAAATTACTTAGCTTTAATATCACAATAGCTAATATAATATTCTAATATAATTTATTATTTAAATTAAATTAATTTATTTTAATATAATTATTAGCTAATATAATTCACCCCTCTTTTTTCTATCAGAGATGTAAATATACCTACCGATCATCATCATCATCATCATTACAGCCCTTCACAAGTCCACTGCTGAACATAGGCCTCCCTCAAGGAATGCCAAAAAGCACGGTCCTGAGCCACCTGCATCCATCGACCTCCTGCATATCTTACCAGGTCGTCACTTCATTTAGTGGGGGGACGCCCAACAGTTCGCCTGCCGGTACGAGGCTGCCACTCGAGAACCTTTATTCCCCATCGGTTATCGGTTCTTCGAGCTATATGGCCGGCCCATTGCCACTTCAGCTTACTAATCCGTTGGGCTATGTCGGTCACTCTGGTTCTACTGCGGATATCCTCATTTCTGAGTTTATCACGCAGAGAAATAGCACTCTCCATAGCTCGCTGAGCGACCTTGAGCTTCCTCATCCGGCCAGCACTATGCTACTAAGCACCATGCTTAATGACCTCAATAGTGCTTCCCACCGGATAGGTCTTAAGATGAACATGGACAAAACAAAGATCATGTTTAATGTCAATGTCACATCTATGCCGGTAGTTGTTGGGAGCACTAAAATCGAAGTTGTTGACGAGTATGTTTACCTGGGACAAATAGTCCGACTAGGTAAGTCCAACTTCGACCGAGAGGTCAATCGAAGGATTCAACTCGGTTGGGCAGCGTTAGGGAAATTACGGCACATCTTCTCGTCAGGTATACCTCAAAACTTGAAAACGAGACTGTACAACCAGTGCGTGTTGCCAGTGATGACATACGGAACGGAAAAAAGTTCCTTCAAATATGAAAATTCTCAAACCTTGGAATACTCCTGGTTTATTACGGTGCATAAGAAATAGGGACGCTCTACATAAAAAAGTTAATAACTCTCCTGGTAACGAGGTACGTAAAAACTACCTACAAGAGATACAGAAATTTTTGTAATATTATCTTGAAAAAAGCGAAGAGACTATATGATACACAGGAACTAAGTAAAGCAAGTAATAACCCAAAAAACTTGTGGGATACTATAAAACGAATAACGAACAACATTAAAACTAAAACCCTTCTACACAATTACTAACTTTATTGCCTTCACCTAAGCAGTCGTGCACTAGTGTAAATTGGTACTTTGTAAATATTGGAGAGAAACTTGCAGATGATATAATCAACTGCAGAACCTTTTAAACAACAACATTCCCACAAACCCCATCTAACATCACATCGACTTCATCTTTTGTCCTATATATTACAGATCCTAATGGAATTATTTCAGTTATAGACTCCTTATGGTCTAATGCTGCTACTGGTTGGGATGGAATTTCGCTTTCCTTCCTAAAGAAATACTCAACCACTCTGGCACCGATCTTATGCCATATTAATCTTTGTTTCGACACTGCTGTCTTTACCACGTCACTTAAAAGGCAATTATTCATCCAGTCTTCAAGGGATGTGCGGGAACGTACCGAATAATTACCGTCCCATAGCGGTTCTCAGTACTCTATCAAAGGTTCTCGAAAGATTGATTAATAAAAGACTAGTCTCCTACCTCGAACATTATAAGATAATTTCTTCATAGCAGTTTGGCTTTCGCAAGAATAAATCGACTAATGATGCAGTTCAAAGTTTAACCGATCATGTCGTTCAGAACTTGAATTAGGCAAAAAGGTCCTAACTACATTTTTGGATCTCGCGAAAGCGTATGACACTGTTCTTGTCTCAACTCTCTTACTCAAATTAGAAAAGGTAGGTGTCAGTGGGTGGCAGCTAGATCTCTTTCAAAGTTACCTCACAAATTGCTCCCAGACTGTCAGGATTGACGATCACAATAGAGATGACCTCCCAGTCTATTACGGCGTACCACAAGGAAGTATATTAGGTCCCACACTATTCTTAATGTTTGTCAACGATCTATGCAACCTTAATACTCCAAATGCTAAGATTATATCATTTGCAGATAATACTGCCATAACATTCGTCGCCGAAACATGGTCTGTACTTGAGCACAAGGCTCAACTTGTCTTCGACCGTATAACAAATTGGCTTTGTTCCCACACGCTAACCCTTAATCCCTCCAAAACTAAATTTATTACCTATTCTATCTATTAGCTCAGTCCCCCAACCAAATTTACCAATATCCCTTAAAGCCCACTCGTGCCACAGACATACTCAGGTGTCTTGTCAATGTCCAACCATATCCTCTGTTGACCATATTAAAAACCTAGGTATAATCTTAGATAAAAACCTAAATTTTAAAAGCTACATTAATCTTCTCACTGGCACAGTCCGTAAATTAATTTACATATTTAAATCCCTAAGAAGTATTGCTAACCCTATATACGTAAAGTTTATTTTGCCCTATGCTTATCCATTATTACATACTGTATTTTCTGCTGGGGTGGTGCTGCTAAAACTAATCTAAAGAAGCTGGAGGTGGCACACAGAGCCATTTTGAAAGTGGCTACTTTCCGGCCTATCATTTTTCCAACTAATCAGTTGTACAATAACTGGAACGTCCGTAATGTTCGGCAACATTTTATTATGCAAACAGTTCTAATGCAACACCGCAAAACCTTGTGGCGGCGCTGTCGTCGCGCCCCAAGCGAAACACATCGAAGCCTAAATCGCACTAACAGAGTTTCGAAGTTAAAGTAGCATATATAGAATAGCTCCGAACTACAAATCGGAGCGTTGGCCGCACCCCGGGCAGAACACCTTGCCCGGCGGGAGATCTCCCCTTTTCCTTCCACCGACTACAGTGGTGACCCCGGCGTGATATGAACACGCAACCAATAACCTTCGGAAACTACAACTTCAAACCTTCATCATCCTCAAGTGCCCCATTCATTCACTCCCGAGCAGATATTGTCTGCAGTATTCACATTCTGCAAGTCATCTAGCTTTAGAAAGGTTCATCGCAGCACTGGATTAATAATGCTTCCTGTTCCTTCAAGCTACTCTCTGCGCTACAGTGTTCGGCACGGCTCTGAGGCTTACTGCTCGCCTTTGCTTCATGGCACTCTCGCAGATCACTAGCCTTCTTCTCGACTCACCGCAGACTACACTTGCACTTGGACTGCACTATCGACGTCCGGTCTGAGCAGGGAGGTGATGCGGCGGCGCTGTCGTCGCGCCACAAGCGAAACACATCGAAGCTTAAATCGCACTAACGAAGTTCCGAAGTTAAAGTAGCATATATAGAATAGCTCCGAACTACCAATTGGAGCGTTGGTCGCTCCCCGGGCAGAACACCTTGCCCGGCGGGAGATCTCCTTCCACCGGCTACAACCCCTTACAGGGAAATAAGTAACCGTCGAAAAGACAAAATTTGTACTCTTCCACAACTTCGCTCATCATTCACTAAAAGATTCTTTTATTTCCTCGGTCCGTCTCTTTACAATAAATTAAGCGAAAAATATCCTATATACGGGTTATCATTATATAACTGCAAGAAAACTGTCCGCTCATACCTTCAAAACACATCTTATGACGAAATAGAAAAAGACCTGAACTGATTATAAAATAACTAACCTGATTTATCTACTCTCTCACACAAACACACACATGCACACGCAAACACACACGCACGCACACGCATACGCACACACACACACACACACACACACACACACACACAAATCCACACGCATTCATTTCTCAATTTTATAATTATAATTTGAATAACTAGAAATTGATATAATTGTAGCACTTTTAACTGTATGCATGTAATTATTATATACATAATATTATGGGGATTGAGACTGTTACTCCTTAATACAGGTTATTCTGTAACCTAGCTAGGAGTGCAGAGCTACATTCACTAGATTTAAGGACATATTTTATAGATAGTATAAACAATGTAATGTCAAACCCATGTACTACAATCACTTTAATATAAAAATAAAGTTATATTGTGAACCACTGTGTTGAGCGAACTGTATAATATTATTCGAACAAAAACCACGTCGCTGATATTTATCTCGTCTCATCATAACTAACAAAACGAGCACAAACTAGGTAAACCTAGTACTACTCGTCGAGGAGTTCCAGTAGCAGTTACTGAAGTACACCATCAGGTCTCTCCATCAAGTCCGGAGGTAAGGTCTCATCATAACTAACAAAACGAGCACAAACTAGGTAAACCTAGTACTAGTCGTCGATGAGTTCCAGTGGCAGTCACCGAAGTACATAGATAAGTCCATAAAGTCTAAGACGAATAGGCATTTATATAAATCCCACTTACTTTTACCGAATAAAAATGTGTGATCATAAAAATAATAATAATATTATTTCAACTTGTCAAATAAATTACGTATCCTATTGGAATATTTTGTGTTTATATAGCGATCTTTTTCAGTATGAGCCGCTGCAATCAGGCGATACAGTTGTATCCACTCACAACGGCGGCCAAACGCGGACTGTGGTTTCATCAGTGTTGCCAGACATTTTGAGTGAACGATCGTACAATGGGTAAATAAATAGTCGTATTCCCTAAGTAGGTCATTAAATAAAAATAGTAAGTACATACGTTTTTATTAAATTTTGTTTTATTAAATTATACAAAAATTGAGAATTAAGAACTCAAAATTATAAGTCTTTATCTCCATATAAACTACTAGGACTAGGGCGACTCGGTCCTGATGTTGGATGTTCGTCCTCCTAATAAACAAGAAACTATTGATATTTTCGATCAAATATGTGCTATCAAACAAGTAACTGTTGATAACTGTTCTTAAGAACGACGAGAAAAGATCTGTGAAGAAAAG